CTCCCCGCCGAGCAGGGAGCCCGATGTGGGACTCGATCCAGGGACTCCAGGATCATGACCTGAGCCGAAGGCAGTTGCTTAACCAACTGAGCCACCCAGGCGCCCGGGTCCGTGCATTTCTGTACAGAGCCTGCAGACATGGAAATTGAGAAGGCCAACAGCAGGTTAAGAGTACTGAGCCCAAAGGCCTGCACAGTCGTACAAAAGGAGTCATTCTACCTGGGGACTCAGGAAGAAGAAATCTGTAGAGAAGAGGATGCTTGAACTGTGTCTTAAAGGTGAAGAGGTGTTCGCCCCTTCTGCTGGGGCCATTCTGCCTCCCTGCCTCCTGACAGTGGGAGGCAGGCACATCTGGGAAATGCAAGTGGCTCAGTGTGGCCAGAGTCGAGTCAGTAGGCAGCCTGCAGAGAGTGATGAGCAGGAAGCAGATCACACCGCTTGATACAACTTGTGAGGTGCTTGGAATGTTACCCTGAAGTGTGTGGAGCTACTGGAGGGACTTAAGCAGGAAATAACATAGTCACATCAGAAGGTGTGAGACTGGAAGCAAGGAGAGCAGCCAGGCTCATCCCAGCCAGCCGATTGCTGAGGAGGGCAGAAAGAATGGTTTTGGAGCTCCAGGGAGAGGCTCGGGAGGCGGACATGGACCCACTAGTATCCGGGCACTGCTTTGATGAGAGGCCTGAGGGAGGGTGGAAGCTAGCCTCACCTGCAGGTTTCTGGCTGGGATTCCGGGGTAGACCGTGAAGCCCTTCATGACACAGGTAACATAGGAGGCCAAGTAGGTTTGGAACAGATGGGAGTGGAACAGTGAGGACAGTAGGTGCCGACCATGGCCTTTAGTATAAGAGGCTCCTCTGAATGAGAAGGGAGGCCTGTGCTGAGAGGTGGGAGAGAGAGTGAAAGGAGGCTTTATTTAAAGGTGGGTCAGACTTAGCATGTTAATAAAATTCAGAGGAGAGAAAGGGAATCACCATCAGAGCCTGTCTGGGAGCAAATGCACAGAGCAAGGCGCCTCACTGCCGGGCCAGGAGGCGAGGAGGTGTGGGGAAGAAAGATACGGTGGGGCAGAGAGTAAAGTTCTCCTGCTTGATAATTACAGTGTTCTCAGATAGGGATATCTGGTTTTCCTATTTTGAGTCAGATGGTTTAGAGAAGTGTGGAGATAAGTTTACTCTTCCCCCGTTTCTCCTTGTGTTATTTCCCCTAAGAATCTCTGGGCTCCAGAGCCTTGAGGTTGGGGACTTTGAGCTGGAGGGACCCCAACATTCAATATGAATAGTCAGTGACAATAAATGAGAAGTAGGAAGGATAGAAAGTGTCACACATAAATATTTGTAACTTTGAACTCTTTCCAGAAGACTTGCATTCTGGGGCACCTGGCTGGCTCAATTGGTGGAGCATGCGACTCTTAATCTCGGGAGTTGTTAGTTCAAGCCCCATGTTGGGCATGGAGCCTACTTAAAATTTTAAAAAAGAAAATTTAAAAAGACTTGCATCCTGAATGCACCTGTAGCTGCGAACCCTAAAGAAAATAAAGAATGCCTTTGCAGCTCAAAGTTTAAAAACGGGGAGATGATGAAATCTGCTACGGGTGGGACTGGGAACTGGTTGAGGAGAGAGATGGCGATAGAATGAGTGCCTGTTGCTGAGCATGCTTGGGGCCCACATGGGAGTGGAAACCATGGACTGTGAGGGGCATCAGGCCGAAGGTCGTGGGATTTCCCCACAGCAGCCTAAGGAAACAGGAGGGAAGGGGATGATCCCTTCTGCAGCAAAGAAGAGCAGACCTTTGCTGCAATTGGCACACGCTTAAACTGAAGGCTTTATCTTTGGAGACACTGGCTAAGATTTTCTGCTCTGTGCTTGGGGAGAGTAGGGCCTTAGCTGAGCGTTAGAAATGGGTAAGAGCCACTCATCCCTGTCTTCTAGCTGTGGGGGTGGTGTGTACGTCATCTGCCAATGTCTTATGACACACCAGGTGTGTGGTTGATGATGGCATTTTCTGCCAAATAGTCAACTCTGTGAAGTGGTACGTCTTTGTAACTCCATGGTTCCTAGCAAAGATTTGGGCTCAAAATAGGTGCCAAATAGATAAATGTTGAATGATCTCCAACTGCAGATTCTACCTGGCATTCACAGCCTTCTGTGAGAGGCTGCAGCTCACCATTCTGGTTTATCTCCCAGTGCTTCACAACAATGCCAACACCTCACAGAAACTGCCTCCAAACAGGCTCTTTCCTTTCTCACTTCCGTGCGGCCTAAGGAGCCTTTTATTAAGGGTGGGCTTTCTACCTGATGCACCCTGTCTCGGCTCCCATCCCTCTCTGCAGTCTCAGAATTACACCTGTCTGAATGGGAGTGTAAGTAGCTAGAGATGGAGGGCACTGGCGAATGTGTCAGAACATTCACTGGGGATTCCCGTAGACATGTCTAGACACCAAGTCCATGAAGATGACTGTGTGAAGGTGCCCATCTTAGCATCGTTTACAGTTGTAAAAATTGAAATCAATCTAAATGTACAGCAGGAAGGGATTAAATGAATTATGGTACATACATTTGGATATTATACAGTCATTGGAGATGATACATAGCTATATTCATTGACAAGGAAAACATTTTTAAGTGAAAAAAGATGATAGAATTACATGTATAGTATGGTCTACATTTATACAAAATTATATATGGGAAGGATGTTAATTGAACTGTTACCTATGGTTGCCAAAGGGATGGAATTTTGCTTTATTTAAAATTTTTATACCATTTTATGTTGCTTGGAATTTGTGTATTATTTTTATAATCATAAAAATTAATAAAGTGTTTTCATTATGGGAAAACAACCCAGTGCATCCTTTGAGGCCTACTTTATATGTACATTCTCCAGGAAGCTTTCCTTGATGCACTTTCCATTCTACACCCAGACTGGAATGGTAGCCCTACCTCCTTTGTAACTCTGTCATCCTCTTAAACCTCTGGTCTTTCTCACTCTTGTGGGCACTGTTATCTCTGAGATGATCTCATTAGCCTCTGGAGCTCGGAACTCCTTAAGATCATGGACTGTGTTGTTCCTACCCATCTCCACGTTCACCCACAAAGGCAGCCTAAGGGGGCAATGACTGCCATTCAGCTCTGGCAATTATTGTTTTATGAGCCTGTGGGCCCAGATCTTGGGGTTTTTGAAGAGATCCAGAAATCAGGCCTGATTTGGGGTTGGCAGGAATGGTGCTTCAGGGGGGGTGCCTGCAGGCTGGGAGGTGATCGCCACCTGCCCCACACTTGCCCCAGACAGGACTCCTCCCCTTTGCCCTTGTCTGTTGTGGGAATGCCCCTCTGGCTGTGATGACCAGACTTCGGGAGCAGAAAACATCCCTCACCCCCAAGGCTGCTCCAAGGGAGCCAGCTGCTCAGCCTCCATCGGATGCTCTTGGGGTCCAGGAAAAGCACAGAAAACCACTGTCCAATCTGAGTTAGGACCTTTCCCTCCAGGGATGTAACCACTGTTTCCGAATGACTGCTCCTCCTAGCTTCAGAGCACTCAGCTTCCTCTTTCATGTTGAGTGGCAGCGATGATGACCACAGGCGCCCAACCAGCAGGTCTTTGGGCAGCCTCACCAGAAATGACGACAAGGCACCTGGGAGGCGGAAACCTGTGTAGGGGCAGGGTAATCCCTTCCCACTGTGGAGCCTCACAATAAGAGCTGTCATGTGTTAAAGGCCTACTCTGGGCCTTTGGGCTTTGAAACATCTCGAATCTAGCATCAGGAACTTCCAGGTGGGCATCACCATCTGCATTAAAAGACTGAGGCTCTGAGACCTGAAGCAGCCTGTTCAGTCTCACGCCCCCCTGTCCCCAAGCTCAGAGGGAAGACCTGAACCCAATCTGCTTGACTCAGCTTGTCTGCCACACTGCAGAGAGGGATGGGAACCGAGATGGGGTGCATTCTCCACAGGGATGGACAAGAGGAACCTAGATAATAATCGACTAAGTTGTTCTTAAAGACCCGACTGAAGCCACACAGTAGACCTGTTAAGGACATGTTACCCACCTGACTTTTGTAGGCATGTGAACTTCTCTGACCTCTGTGAGGTACTCTCTCCCCAGACATGCACAGTGTGTGGCCCAGCTGGGGGCAGGAGCAGAAGCTGGAGGACAGGGAAGCAGCTTGGGTGAGTACCTGGGGACCATCAGTGGCAGAGACAAAACCTTGCTGAGAAACCACAGACAGCACCCAGAGCTAGAGTGGGTGGTGAGAGCACCTCAGTCCCAGACCTCAGGGCCTTTCAGCCTTTGGCCTGGCTTTCCTCTTGGCCTCAGTGCTTGGACCTGCAGCTCTTCACAATAAACCCCTGTGACTCGAGGGTTCCCAAGCCCATCTTCGTTCCCGGAACCTCAGCACTGGGCACACCAGAGGGGCCGATTGGTTGGTCCTGTGACAATCGTTCTAAGTAAGGGGTGTTGGGAGTTGTAGCACCTTGAGAACAATCTCCCTGGGAAGCTGTGTGCCTCAGAGGCCTCTGCCAACCCCCCCCCCCCGCCCAGTCCGGGGTCATGTCTGAAGCAACTGAGCTGTCCTTGTCATCTGGGCAGGGGGGGAAGGGATTCCTAGTAGTGACACTGCTGGCTGGAGCCCCAGGGCTACAGCTTGTGTGTCCCCTGAGAAGCACCCACCCTGAGTCAAACTTTGCTTTCGGGGCTGTGGCAGGACACGCTCATCAAAGGTGCTCTCCTAACACAACCGTCTCCAGGGCTCACTTCCCCTCCCGCGCACCTCTGTAAGATGAAGAGTTTAGACTTCTCAATAATTTAAGATGTTTTAGCAGCACTACTGTTTTTGTAGACATCTACACCAAAGTCCAGTATTCAAAACATAAAGGTATGGTGTTTTATTTTATTAAAGATGTACCCATTAGGGGGCGCCTGGGTGGCTAAGGCGGTTAAGCATCTGCGTTCGGCTGGGGTCATGATCCCAGGGTCCTGGGAATAAAATCTTAAAAAAAAAAAAAGATGTGCCCATTAGAAAGGCAATTAGTAAGAACTCAGAGGCTGGTAGGATGAACAGGATAGTTGCTGATTTACACCAAACTCTGCTCCCAATTTATTCTACCGTTTTTTGGTTGCACAATATCGACAAAACCAGGACATTTTTTTTTAAGAGATTATTTATCTGACAGAGCACAAGCAGGGGGAGCAGCAGAGGGAGAAGCAGACTCCCCACTGAGCAGGGAGCCCCATGTGGGACTTGATACCAGGACCCCAGGATCATGACCTGAGCCAAAGGGAGACGTTTAACCGCCTGAGCCACCCAGGCGCCCCAAAATCAGGAAAATTCTGATCACCGAGTTAGTAGTTAAAATAGTTCATTTTTAACCTAACCTTGCAATCTCAGGATACTGAAAGAGGAAGAGTAAAGCTTATTTGTGTTGTTTCAAAGTTGAATCAACAATATATTAGGATGAACCATATGTAATTGCCCATATCCTACCACTGTGACAAACAAAAACAGCAAATTCGTATAATTCAGTAAATAATAAGAGCTAACATTAATTTATTGTGTGCCAGGCCCCTGCTAAACCTTTTGGAAGCATGATGTCTTTCCATCCACACACAACGCTCTGCTGTGCAGATAAGGACCCCGAGGGCAAGGAGCTGTCTGAGCTTGTCCAGGTGACCAGAGCCTCCGGGGTCAGGCGATCAGGCGGCCAGGTCGCGGGTGGCGGGGCTGGGCCCCTTCGGGCTAGTCCGCCTCCTCCGGCTGCAGGCCCGGCGGGAAGAATGCAGCCTCTGTGCCCGGCGGCGCCCACCAGCCCAGGAGCTGCTTGTTTTCTTGAAGAGGTTAAGTCACCTCCTGAGCAGCGTCGGCGGCTCGGCGGAAGCCCGGCCACTGAAAGGGGCTTTGTGTGCCGGCTGCGGAGGGCCCGGGAGAGCCAGGGCCCAGCCAGGGGGGCAGCCGCGGTCCAGCCCACCTGCGCCGCCCCAGACCGGGCCGGGGAGGGGACACTTGTGCCCCCAGCCCTCGCTGCCTTCTGCTTGGCGGTGACCCTCATCCCCAGGAGGCGAGAGACTGGTGCCTGCAATGTGGCCCCCAACCAGGAGCGGCCGCAGCGCCCCGGAAGGTGTGAAAACTGCCCACGCGCTCAGAAAACTGGGCTCAGAGCCCATTTGCGATTCAACAAGCCTTGTAGGTGATGATGATGATGGTGATGCCTGTGGAGGCCTGGGAACCACTGCTCTATAGTCTGATCTGGAAATACTCTGGCCAAAAAACCCAGTGCTTTTAAGCCCCTTTCTCGCAGAAACTTGGAAATGAAATTCGTGCATTAGAGAGTGATGGAGAAAAGGCAAAGGCTTGTACAGGAAAACTCATTCTAAAAACAGCAGTCTCTTTGAAGGTCTACACACCCGTCCTAGAGTGTGTGGAACTTAGCTCCGTATTCATCCACTACAGAAAATAAGCTTTTCCCTTGACCGTAATACGGGCTTTGGAGTCTACAGGAGGTCACGTATGCCTCTTTACAGGAAAATATTCTCCAGAACTTACCTCCCAGAGACATCCTAAAATGTCTCCAGGCCAAGGATCTTGTCTTTCTTCATTTGGATCTTCACTTGTGTACTGTGGAACACTGTGGAATTAGGAGCTGCGGGTTCACTACCAGATGTTTTACAAGTCAGGTGCATCTAATCCATTGATTTGAGGCTTCTCAGGAACACCTGAAAATTAAGCAAATAAATAAGGTGGACAACACTCCACACAGAAAGAGGGAGAGAGAGGTGTCTGACTCTGAAGGTAACCCCCCCTCTCCCCCCACAGGCCTTCCTCTAACTCCTCCCTCCTGCCTCTCTCCCAGGCCTTCCCTCTGCTCCCCAGCCTTTTCCCAACATCCTCTCCCCCATTCAGTCATAGAGGCTTTCAACCAACAAATGTTTTTTGAGTGTCTCCTGCATTCTTGGCATCATGGCAGCAACCCCTGACAAGACCAGGTCCCTGGCCTGATGGCAATGAGAGTCTGGGGCAAAGTCAGGAAAACTAGGGAGGCACACAATAAACAAACATTAACTATGTAATGGAAGACAGGGTGATAGGATAGGGTAAGTGGTCAGGAAGGAAGGTCTCTTTGAGGAGGTTTAAGGCCAAGAATTGGAATTTTTGCGCTAAGCCCACTAGGTAAGGAGTCAGGGAAGAGTGTTCCAGGGAGAGAAAACAGCAAGCGCAAAGGCCCTGAGGCAGGAAAGAGCTTGTTGGGTTTGAAGAACTAGAAGGTCGCTGTGGCTGGAGCCTGGTACATGAAGGGGAAGGAGAGGAAATGAGATGAGTGATGAAGGCAAGGCTGGGTCACTTAGAGCTCGGTAGTTTGTGGTAGGGAGGGTGGGTTTTGTTCTCAGTATAACGGGAAGCTTTCTGAAGGCTTGAAGCAATGCCTTGATGGTGGTTGGCGCTGCTAGTTAGAGAATGGACCTTGTATGATAGAGGGAGGCAAGGAAAAACAGGGAGATCCATTAGGAGATGTAGCAGTTTTCTGGGTGGTAGGAACAGAGACAGAGGGCCATCATTAGGACAGGTGATCAAGAAGTTTAGAGGCCTAAGGGTCCTGGCAGAGGACTCTCTGGCCAGTAGACAAGGAGAACAGGGTCTCTGAGTGATGGGGCTCTAAAGTGCAAGGGAAGAAATGAAACCCCAGCACTTCTGTTCATAGTGGGTCGTTTCCCTTGCGGAAAGTTTCAGCTTCCTGATTCTGGGGCTCTTTGTGAGATGGAATTTGGGGCAAGAAAGTGTGGGACAGAGTATTGGTGAGACCTGCTTGCCCCCTTTGGGGTCATCCCCTCAGCTTCTCTCTGGGAGTGGAGCTGGGGGTGGGAGTGGGGAGAGTTTCTGCTCCAGCTCAGAAGCACCTCTGCGCTAGCAGGGGAGGAAATGAGTCAGTGGTCCCCCAGTCACCAGCCCCTACCCCTAAGACAGGTGCTCTGCTTCCTCCTTCCCACCACAAGGCCTCTAGCCTCCCCGCCCTCCACCACCTGCCCAGACCTTTGTTGGGAGAAGTCAGAGGTGTCCTGAATGGGACTCTGCTGAATGGGACAGCTCCCTTATGGCTGAAGTGTAGGGGGCTCAGTGGGAGAGCAGAGGCCCTTTTTAGCCCAAGGGGTGCAAGAGTTCTGGATTAAACCCTACCCCATAGCCAGGAAGGCCTTGCCCGAAGCGGTGGGCAAGAACGGCCTCGTGCCTTCTCCCACAGTCCCTCTTCCCCAGCCGTTGCCGGGTACAGGGACACCACCCACCTCTGCCTCCAGGACAAGCCCACAGGCTGCCATCTTCTCAGCCCTGCTCTGCTGGGGGCTTAACAGGGATCATCTCAATTTTTATACACTCTCCTGAGGGAGGCCTATTAGCCCAATTGTGCAGATGAGAACAGGTCTACACAGTTCAGGAAAGCCAAGCTATCTGCCCTCCAACGCAAAGCCCAGGTCCTTAACCTGCTTCTTCCTGGCAAACTGGACCTGAAGCAGGTTGGGGCTGAAAGATAAATGCATGGATGAAAAAATAAATGAGTGAAGGGGCTTGTGGATGCTGGAAGAGGCGGACATCAAAGCCAGATTGCCCCAGTCCTCCCCAGGGGTGGCTGCACAACCAGGGTCCAGGTGAAAGATGGAGGGAAGGGGATGGGGGGCAGTCTGGTCCCAGGGATGGGTGTGAGGAACGCAAAGAACATCCCCCAAGGTAGGCGCCGAGGTCTGGGCCCTGCCTCCCTCCATATCCAGCGCCCACGGACCCTAGTCCTTACTAGGCGCTCAATAAAGAGTAGGTGAAATTTTGGCTCATCTGCATTCCTGGCAATTAGCGGGTACTCAGTAAATGTTGACAAACGGATGACTGTCCGCAGAAGGGTCCCCACCTGCGGCCCACTAGGCGCAGGGGGTTGGTGCTCGGCTCCCGCCTCCCCGCGCTGCCTAATCTGCCCTTCGCAGGACCGCGCGGCGCGAGGGAACGCCCGGGGCGGGGCCAATTAGGGGCGGGGCCTGCGGGCCCGAAGGGGGCGGGCCCCCGCCGGGGTCGGTGGTCTGAGCTGGGAGAGGTCTTGCTCCGAGCGTCGCGCTCGGAGGGGCTGGAGCGGGTGTGCGGATGCTGGAAGTTCACATCCCGTCGGTGGGACCCGAGGATCCCAGGCAGAGCCCAGAGAAAGGACACATGGTGAGCGGGGACACTGGCTGGGAAGGCGCACGGGACCCGCCGGATTTCCCCGCGCCAAGCGCAGTGGGGATCCCGCGCCCGGGCTGCCGCATCGGAGCGCGGCGGGTCGGGCCGTCCGGAGACCGCCTGCCGAGGGTCTCGGGCCGCTTGGATTTGCCAGCTCCGTGGACGACGGTCCGGGTTCACGAGGGACTGCACGGAGCTGAGGGGCGGGTCCGGCCTCCCCATCTCCCCAAATGTGTGAGGAGCGTGGGAGGGTCCCCGGAGTTGGCGGGGCTCCCAGGCCGCTTTGTGCCTTTGAGCGCGGGAGGGCGGGCGCGTTGCGGGCGCGGGTCCTGCTGAGCCCGCCCGCGGGGCCTCACGCGCACCTGGCCGCCCGCCCGCGCCCGCCAGGTGTTCCGAGTGGAAGTGCTGAGCCGCGGGCGCAGGCACACCGTGCAGAGGCGCTACAGCGAGTTCCACGCGCTGCACAAGCGGGTGAGGCTGCGCCGCCGACCGACCGACCGACCGACCGACCCCGGCCCGGCTCCTGCCCGGCTCCTGGGAGACGGGCGAACTGCGGGCCCAGCCTCTGCCACCATTACCGCCCCAGTCCCTGGAGGGCTCCGGTCCTGGGCACAGACCTCCCTGCGGGCTTCGGGGTGGGTGCAGAGGCGGGAGGGCCCAGCCTGTCCTGTCGATGCCATCGCGTGGCCGGCCAGCCCTCGGGCGTTTGCGGGGGGGTTGCTGGGGTCTCTCTCGCCCCCGTCCCAACCACCCACTCGCTAGCGTCTGCGCCAGGGTAGAGCCTGAAGTCTGGAGGTGGGGGCGGGGAGGACTGGGAGAGACTGTTGGGCGCAGTGAGCTTGAGGACTCAATCGGAATACTGTGATGGCACCGCGGTAACCTCCTGGCAGATCAAGAAACTGTACAAAGTGCCCGACTTCCCCTCAAAACGCCTGCCTAACTGGAGGACTAGAGGATTGGAGCAGCGGCGGCAGGGCTTGGAGGCCTATATCCAGGTGTGCACGGGGCTTTGCCCCCCTGGGCTGCTTGACCAGAGGTGTGGCCCAGACAGCTGGGAAGGGGGGGTAGGGAGTGAAGGGGACCCACATCTTGAGCGTGCTATTTACTACCCCAAGCCTCAATATTCTGAACAGTCATGAGTCCAAACAGCCCTCTGTATTGATGGAATGGGATGAGGTAACACGAGGCAGGTGGTTTCAGTTCAATGAAAGCTAGTTCTCTTTTCCCCAGGGTGAGGGTCTGTGCTACCCTCAATGCTGAGGATTTGGGTGGGGACCCTTCCCCCTCTCGTCCCCACACAGTGATGCCAGATTCCAGGCCAGGTTGGCTTCCTGGGCTTACAACCCATGAGTCACCCAGGGCCCAGTGCTCAGAAGGGCCCCAAGCTTGGCTTAATGCTCTGCTCGCTCTTGAAATTCTTAGTCATTTTGGAAGGCCCCCGCCTCTCCATTTTGCACTGGGCTCTGTAAGACAGCTGGGTCTGATTACAGGTTCCTTCTGATCTCTCCAGGGTGTCCTGTACCTGAACCAGGATGTACCCAAGGAGTTACTGGAATTCCTGAATCTTCGGCACTTCCCCACAGACCCTAAGGCCAGCAGCTGGGGGTGAGCTCCTCTGGGGGCCATGGCTGGGCAAGAGAGAGGGGCCCCAGTGTTTGGGGGGACAGGGTCTCTCTGCAGCAAGCGGGTGAGGAAAGGTTTGAGAAGCCAAGCCCTTTTCCTTCTTACATCGGCCAGGCACCAGCCTGCTGCTTCTTTGAGACGTGACCTCCCTCATTAGCTTTCTTGACCGGGGGCAGAGGGGCTAGTTTCTGGACAGTCTCGGTTACCACAGCCACCTCCGGAACTGAGCTTGTTACAAATAGAAGCAGTGGTCCCCTGGGAGGTGAAGAGCTGGGCTTGCGTGTCTCCACCTCTTCCTCACGCGCGTGCCCGCCCCCACCTCCCCCCACCAACCGCAGCTCACAGCGCGTCTCCTTTTCAGCGCCCTGGGGGAGTTCCTGCCCAATGACAGCAGGCAAGTCAAAAGCTCCAGCCGCCCCGCTCCTGCTGCCCCCTGGTGGCCGCGTGCCAGGAGGCGGCCTGCGGTTGTCTGGCCTACCCCACCCCCTTCAATCCCAATCCCAGTCCCAATCCCGGTTTCTGTTGGTGCCTCCTGAGCCCACTTCCCATTCACCTTTTCCTTTTTGGGTGCTTCGTGATCTCAATCCCTGGTCTCTACCCTGCCTCTCCCTCACTGTTCGGGACTCTTCCCTCCTAGCTCCCAGCTGCACCACCGGCCTGTCTTCAGCTTCCACAGGGATCCCTACATTCGCAGCCCATCCCCAGGTGAGGGCCTAGGTACCAGGGTGGGAGTAGGGGGTGAACCTGCCATTTTCAGCTCAGGACCTCCAGGCAGCATCTCGTGCCTACTGCCTTCGTTTGGGGCCACACCTGCCCTGCTGCTCCTGTAGCCTGCTTTGTGTTCTTCCGAAAGCAGACGTGGTGAAATAACCTTGGCTCTCCTGGTCTCAATTCCTCGCCAGCCCGGCTTACCAAGCTAAAGTGAACGGAATGTGTGCGGGGCATGCCAGGGCCTCACTGGGGGGTGGCCAGCTGTTACCTTTGACCTCTATTCCTGAGGAGGGGGCAGAGCCTATGGGCTCAGGAGCTCAAGGAACTAGAGGCCTGAGGCTAGGCCCACCCCCCGTCTTTTCTTCCCCCGCAGTCCCCTACCCCTTCCTCCTGTTTTCTTTCTGTCCCACAGAGCCTCTGCCCAACGTGGTGGTGAATGGCGTGCTCCAGGGCCTCTATGGCTGCAGCAACGGGCCAGCTGAAGCTCAGCCGGAGGCATCTTCTCACCCTGCTCCTTTGCCACCGATGCCCTGACCAGCCCAGAGGCCTATGGGCCACCTGCCAGGACAGGCATGTGCCTCAGTGTATGTGCCCCCTTCTCAGAGGAGGCTAGGTCCCCCTTGGCCCAGACCCAGGACTAACCTGCCCGAGGTGCCAGGGCAGGGACAACAGGGGATAAGGAATAAAGGGAGAAGTCCATTTAGAGGTAGGCTTTGACAAGGTAGAGATGTATTTCTTCCCCTCCACCCACAGGGGGGTGGGGGACAAGCAAAGACTGAGGCACCCTCGTGGCAAAGGTTAGAAGGAAAAGCTCCTGCCTGCTACCTGTGGGTAGTTATCAGGGCACTAGGGTTCCGACCAGAGCCCCAGAAGGGGGCACAGGCACCCCCGGCCACAGGAGGCCCAGACATGCTGGGACCGGGACTTGAGCAGGTGTTGCAGGCCCAAGAACCCAGCCCACACACTGGTTATAAAAAACCCACCTTTTTTTTTTAATAGGTCAGCATTGGTAGGACTTTGTTACAAAACCAGGCTGGTAGGTAGGCCTGGGGAATGGGGGGGGGGTCCGCTCCGTCAGACGCCAGCACTGCGGTCAGTGTAGCAGGGAGCCCTGCGGCGGGCGGTCTTCACCCGCGGGAGGCACCAGGGCCGCACAGATGGTGGCGCAAAGAGGTCCCTGGGGCCCTACTCCTTGGCGATGGCAAAGGGCTTCTCCACCTCGATCTTGCCACAGTCTGCGATCGTCACATCCTTCAGGGGCTTGTCCCGACTGTCCGTCTTGGTGCTCTCCACCTTCCGTACTACCTCCTGGGAAGGCAGGCAGCAGCAGTAGAGCGGCATGAGTGCGGAGGTCCACCCCTCAAGGGAGAAGCCCCGGAATATGGCCGGGGAAGGCTGAGACCCCCATGGGACGAGCAGCATGCAAACCTTGAGGCACCAAAATCCCAACGGGACCCTAGACAGGGAGAGCCCAGCTTTGACGAGGGGACGCGGGAGTTTTGATCCTCTGCAGTGGGACCGGGCTGAGCTAAGGGCGAGGGGGAAGAGGGTAGCTGGGGAGTGGGTACCAAGTGGCTTCTCAGGGACACAGTGTTTGGCTGGGTCCTGCACACCTGAGGGGGGTGGAGCCTAGCAGCGAGTGAGTGAAACGGAGGCCCCTGCCCCTGGGCAGGCTGAGGAACTGAGAACCTGGGGGCAGAGACACGAAGGGTAGTTCCCGATGCCCTCTGGGTTTGTGCACATGAACACTGGGAAGCTGTGCGTTCCCTGTCAGGAAAGGGATAAACTAGGTGGCACCCCTACCCTGGGCTGTCCGTTTCCTGGTGAAGGTTGCTCAGGTTTAGCCCCTGCCCCTCAAACTCACCATGCCTTCCAGAACTTTACCAAACACCACGTGCTTGCCATCCAGCCAGGCTGTCTTAACGGTCGTGATAAAGAACTGGGAGCCGTTGGTGTCTTTGCCTGCATTGGCCATGCTCACCCAGCCAGGCCCGTAGTGTTTCAGCTTGAAGTTCTCATCGGGGAAGCGTTCACCATAGATGCTCTTTCCTGGGAAGGAAGAGTAGGTCAGGGAGCTGAATTGGCCCAAACCAAGCAGATCTTTGGGGTGAGGATTCCAGGGACTCAACCTGTCTTTGGTGTCAGGCCAGGCTCCAGTGGATTATAAGGACTAAAAGCTGTCTCCTTCCTACCCTCTGGTCTTGGAGCCAAACCATGCTGATAGACCAAGTGGGGCATAAGGCCAGGCTGATTTAGTGAACAGCTCACCCGATCAATTATTTTGAGGAATATAGTTTAGTGGCTTTTAAATAAGGCAAATATCAACAGCTACCCTTGGCGATGGCCTGGGAGGTCTGCCACCGGAACTCTGAGGTACTCTGGTAGAGAGAGGTGCTATGCAGGGGGCAGGGGAGGTAAGAACTCTCCAGAAAAGGAGGACAGCTGTGGTTGACCAGCTTTTCTTCCTAACAGCACAGAAGATAACTGAGATGAGTGGGGAGGGGCTGCCCCTTGGGTTCTGGATAATCAAGAGCCTCTTATCAATGAACACAAAATAAAAGCTGGATGTTGATGTGTGGGGTATGTCTATCCACGAGGGGTCTGAGGCCAGGGTACACGACAAAGGGAGTTGGGCAGACCCCGACACCATTTCAGAGATCCTCACCTAAGTTCCCAGAGCTGCTTCTGCCCCCTTCTTTCTCCCTGTCTCCTCTCAGGAGATTCACACTGTGTGCTAGTGACCACAGGCCCTGGAGAAACCCAGTAACAAAGAAGCTTCATTTTGTTTTACCCAACACTTCAAACTCACTTGCGTACACAACCTGTACCTATTCGCATCCCGTGGTTCCGCAGAGGGACCCAGCTGTGGAAGTTGTCCTGGACCGCAGCTCATCAGGGAGGCATTTCTGACTACATAGCAGGTGGGGAAGGCTAAACCCGACAATCACTAGACGCTGGGGGGGGGGGGGGTGGGTGCCATCTCTGCCCAGGCCAGGGAGCAACCCAACCCTCTGCAGCAACTCCTGGCTCAGAGTCTCTCCTCGGTGAGAGTCCTCTTTGTAAATCGCCAGTGACAGCAAGATTTCAGTTACTGTTACTCTCCAGAAAACCCCACATCTCCATCCTTGGCTCTGATCACTTTCCCAACACAAGGAATCCCAAACTCAAACGGATAACTTCATTTTAAACTCAACCGATTTCGTCATCTTTCCCTCCAGACTTCAATTCTTCTTTTGACAACTTTTCCTTTGCAACCGTCCATGTGGCTCCCAGCCGCATTATCTATTCCTCCTCTCCACTCCTGCCATGCGCACTGCAGTAACGACTAATGCTCAGAGTGCAAACGGTGTATGCCAGAGAACCGACACGATCATTTTACACCCAGAAAAACTGCCACATTATTTTCCCTCAAACTCCTTTGCGCCTGGGTCTTCCTCCCATTCAAGCCCTCCGTGGGTCCTCCCTCCACGCAGGACAAACCCAGGTTCCCAGGTCCAGCCACGGCCCAGCACTCTGGGCCCTGGTTTGGTGTGTGCTCTCCTTCCATCTCTGGACTCCACCTTCAGCCAAGCTCCTGCCACAGAACAGAGGTGGGTTCACCTTAGCCCTCTCTGCCCAGGTTCTCCCCGGTCAGGACCTGCCCACATCTTCCCTCACATTCCCAAGGCGGCCACTTCTCGATCAGCCTGGCCCGAAGTGACTCCTCCGCTTGTTGGCACCTCGACGGTGACTGACTTGCCACATGCTGGTCACCTACCATGCAGCACCCCAACTCTTTCCACTCTGACTTTACACCCGAAGGAACCCGAAGCTCAGAGGACTCACCTGCCTGAGGTCACAGAGCACGAAGATGGCAGATCTCACCCAACTGTGTCCGACCCCGTGCACACAGCGCTTTGTATCATGTCTGCTCTTTCTCAGGCACCGCGGCCGATGGCCATCACTCACATTCTGTCCTGTTCTTTGGCTGCCACGTCGTGTTCCCCTGCTTCCTCCCGCCTAGATGCTAAACCACCTGACAGAGCCTGACCTAGAGTCACTGACCCACGTGTTTAGTTTTGCTCCCCCTCCCCCCAGGGGGTACCCCGAGAGAAAAGCCATCAAGGCTGTAGGCCCTGGCCGGCAGGCCTGCTGGCGGGGTGAGAGCCACACAATCCCCCCACCGTTCTCCTCTCCTTTGTCCTGGGGTCCCTGTACAAAGGAGGCTGGGTCACCATGCGGGTGCCAATCCTGCCTCCAAGCTGGGCGAGCAGGGGGCCTCGTCTGCCCAGCACGGCCCAGCCTTCCCGGGTTGGAGGCTGCCCCAACAGACCCTGCTGCCCAGAGGCCCTGAGGTTACCTCCAGTGCCATCTCCCCGGGTAAAGTCTCCACCCTGGATCATGAAGTCCTTGATCACACGATGGAATTTGCTGTCTTTGTAGCCAAATCCTTTCTAGAAAAGGGAAGAAGGTGAGAGGCAGCATGAGACACCAGGCAGATATCAAGCAGGCCCTGCAGGAACCCAGCCCACAGCTCCTGCTCCCAGAAGAGACACCACTGCTGATCAGATTCATCATTTGACCTGCTGAGTGAGCAGTTACCAGCAGGCCAGGCGCAGAGCACCACAGACCCAGGAAAGGCTAAGATGGCACGCTCCTCTGCTTTTATACAATTCTGCTTCACATGATGTCTCTACCTTTCCCTGCTCTTTTTCTAATCCTAAGAACAGATGCAAGAAAACAGACCAAAAAACAACAGGTACCAGCTGGGTCACCGCAAAGTTGGAATACAGACTTTTTCTTTGATAATTCTTTATTCTAATTCCAGTAAACATACAGTGTTATATTGGTTTCAGGTACACGATACAGTGACTCAACAATTCTATACATCACTCAGTGCTCATCATAAGGGTACTCTTAATCCCCATCACCTGTTTCACCCATCCCCCCCACAGCTCCCCTCTGGCAACCACCAGTTTCTTCTTAAGAGTTAAGAGGAATACAAACTTTCTTAAACAGGGCACTCCTGTTTCTTTAAGACCTGGGAAGCTCTGGGCCCCTTACTCTTAAGAGAAAGTTCTGGTGCACAAGCCACAAACTAGTTTCCATGGATATGTTTTCCTTGATTACTGCAATGTCTTAAAAATGAAAATTTTTCTTAAAAAAAAAAAAAAATTAAAAAAATCCGTATTTCTGGATTTAGTTTAAAACCTCCAGAAGCTATGATAATACCAGGTTCCCAGAGCTGCAGGAGAGCGGTGAGCTGTTGGTACTTGGTGAGGGCTACTGCTACAGACGGGCCCCGCTCTGCACATCCGTTCACTGTCAGCTCTACTTGCCAACTCCACTTGAGTTCAACTACCTCTGCTCCAGCCACTTACCTCTCCCGTGGCTAAGGCCACAAAATTATCCACTGTTTTTGGAACAGTCTTTCCAAAGAGACCGATGACCACCCGGCCTATATCTTCATCTCCAATTCGCAGGTCAAAGTACACCTGAGGAAGAAGACCATTTCAAACTCAGCCTTTTTGAAGGGGTCTTGCCAGGGAAGCGAGGGTCCAAGAAGTTACCACAAAGGTGGAAGAGAAAGAACCGTATTTTGAGAGCAGTGGTTCTGAACCTGATTTCGGTGGTGACAAAAACCCTATGAGAATCTGATGAAGGCTCCAGACCCTTTTCCCAGGAAATGTTTGTTTGCACTCCCTTTATAGGGTAGCAAACAACCTTTAGTCTACATAAATAATGAGCGCAGATTCTAGAAATGAACGTCCAAAAACCATAAGGAGGGGAATCTAACTTAGCATCATGCAAGTTTCAACTAGATTGCTATGCTTTGTAATTGCAAGTGGGTAACATCTGGCCCAAGTAAAGAAAGGATTCACAGTTTGCCAGACGTGATGTTTCACCTTTTCCCACCGCTGGACGGTATTCGCAGAAAGACTGCTCTGAGGCTGACAGTGCCAGCCCCGGCTGCACATGCCCGGCGCCCGCTCCTGGGTTAAGGCTGGGGCTGGGGTGTCGGGGAGGAGTCGGGCATTCTGTGGTCTGAATGAGCAGGACCGCCCGGACGCCACGAGGCCACAGCAGGGGCTGAGCCAAAGCCGAGGACGCCCAGGCCTGAGCTCCGGGAGCTTAAATGCCCCGGACACCGGTGACCTGCGGCGCCGAGGCCGGAACGCAGGCGACGGGGGGGGCGGAGGGGGGTCGCCAAGCAGGTCGGGAGAGGGGAGGACGGACCTTGACGGTGACTTTGGGCCCCTTCTTCTTCTCGTCGGCCGTCGAGGGACCTGGCAACAGCAGGAAGAAGACGGAGCCCACTATGAGGGCGGCGGCGAAGAGCACCTTCATGTTCCGCTCGGAGAGGCGCAGCATCCACCGAGCGAACAGAGCGCGGCCCCGGTAGCCGAGGGCCGGAAGAGGGTGGGGACGCGTCGGCGTGGGCACCGGCGCCACCACCGAGAGCGGCTGGGGGGAAACCGGGGCTCCTGCTCGCCTCCTGGCGGGAGATGGTCCTTATTTCCCCCCTCTGGGTCGGCGCCGGGTAGTAGGACCTCGCGGGGGGCGTGGCCCGGCCCGCCGTCAGGGCTGGCCAAGACGCGGGCTCGTGGGTGGCTGCCACGTTACTGTGGCCTCATTGGCTCCCCAGCTCGCCAACGCCCACCAACAGGAAAAGGATCACGGAAGGCGGCACCGCCCCAGGAGCACGCGGATTGGGTCTCCGAGGAGACTACAAACCCCAGCATGCAGAGCGGCCTCTCTCGTGGCCCGTCTTGCCTTTGGGGAGGGGAAGTCCTTCGGAGGTTAGTTTATGTTAGGAAGACCGTGGATGGGGGAGAAGGCGCTTGTCAGTTTCCGAATTGGGCCAGTCAAGCATTACCCACCACTAGCTTGGGTTTAAGTATGGTAGCTTCCCAAAACTCGGAGCATGCTTCTGCTAACCCAGAGTATGACCTTATACTGCACCTTCTACTTGTCTTGCAAAACTTGCTTCAAAACCTTTCCTTTTTGACTTAGTCCCTGTCACTTTAGTCCCTGTTTTTCTCTGGTCTTACTGTGCTTACTGCTGTATGTATGAGTCAATGCACACTTTATTATTGTATTCTCTGCTTCTTAACTTCCTTTACCTATTTTTCCAAGTAAACAGTTTTTTTGTTTTTTTGTTTTTTTTTTTAAGTAGGTTCCACTCCCAGCACAGAGCCCAGTACCAGCTTGGATTGATGACCCTGAGATCAAGACCTGAGCTGAGATCAAGAGTCCGACACTCACCCGACTGAGCCAACCAGGCGCTGCCAACTAACCACCTTTTTGTGAGCAACGCACTGTATTGCATGTGTTGCCCTTATTTTGTATACATCTCCCCCAACCCTGCTGTAGGGCTGAGTGTCCAACAAATATTGGTTGCAACAGCATCATATTAACACTGAGGTGGGAAATTATATATATATATGAAATGGCCTGAGGTTCAGTCTCTTTTCTAGAAACCTTCAGGAAGGTCAGGGATAGTCGTCAGATGCTCTCACACTTGTTCCAGTCTACAACATACATATTTCATCACTGGGAGTCTTACCCAGAAAAATAAAAATTACATCTTTC